GTGGCACGTTATCCACTGGACGAAGACTGCGGAAATAGCAGCTCTTCGTCGGATGTTGTTAGGAACATTAAGGCTCCAATGGAGCAGAGAGTGGGGACACTGGATGACGCCGAGTGTGCATTCCTACTGGTTTCGATGAGACGTAAACTCTATAGAAAGGAAACGGTGAAGCTGTGTGTTATCTGCAAGACGCAAGTTGCAGACCCTAACCCAGAGTGTGTCTACCGTAGACGATAGCGCACAGCTATACACCCTCGTCAGCAGCATGACGGGGGAAGAAGTTGGCGATTTCACCTTTGAGACTATTCCTGCGGTAAATGCTCTTCTTGAGCTGGACGAGATGTCCTTCACAGAGTTAAGCTGTGCCTTGAAGGCAGGAAATTTAGCCGAGGTGGTCATTATATGGCCGAACGAGGCGATTAACACGTCGTCGCTTCTGGATGAAGCTGTCCAGGAGGACACTAAGAAGGTGCTGAACACACGAAGTGGACCGTCGATCCTGAAGAATCCCTTGGATCCGTACTTTTTTGGTAAAGGGTCTCCATGCCGTCGTCTCAAAAAAACCGTCGTCGGTCCTATCTCCGGACCGAGGTGTGCTTCATGAGTTTGACCTGGTTCCTGGAACCAGATACTGCGTTACACGCCAACGTCCTCTGCTCAAGGAGCAGTGTGACGTCATTTATGCAATTTTACGTGCAAAGCACGACGCAGGGATGGTGCGTGAAAGTAAGTCTCCCCATTCGACACCTACGTTTTGTGTCCGATAGCCGAAAGGCAAGTGGCGTATCGTCACGCTTACAAAATGCAGATCGCTGCCTCCATTCCGGCATAGACGCCGATTCCTGTAAAGGATGCATTTTGGAACAACATGGTTGGATGTATAAAGTACAGCGCACTCGACTTGGTCGATGGGTATTACGAATTTCGAGTGATTTTTCGCTGACAGCGGTGAGTCATACGAGCGGGATGCTCTGGAAGTGGCTGGTGATTCCCCAAGGGCTTTCAAATACACCAGCAACATTTAATCGTCTTGTGACGCAGTTGTTCAGGCCCCACTGGGTGTTTGCACAGACGTACTCCCACGACATCTTCGTCCACAGTCATGCGGTGCACGGAAGGACGAATGTAGAGAACCACATCGTCCATTTAAGAGCGGTACTAGATTGCATGCGCGCGAAAAGCTGTATGCTAATGCAGAAAACTGCATCTTCGGCGCTAAAGAATCTCCTTTTTAGGGTGCTTCATTGGGAAACATGGCCTTCGAGCGAATCCCGCTAAGGTCAAAGCCATTGTGGACTGGCCGGTCCTAAAGAACCAAAAAGACTTGCGCAAGTGGCACGGCCTCGCCAACTACTTGCGCAAGTATTATCCGGAAGTGGTACAGCCATTGTCGAATTGCCTTCAAAAGGATGCGGAATGATGATTAGAAACGAAACGTCGGGAGGCTTTTGGCGGGGTCAAAGACAGCCTCCTTCATGCACCAGTACCGGTGTTTTCAGATCCCGATCGTCCTTTTAGTATCGTCTGTGACGCCTTGGACTTTGCCATCGGCTGTGCACTGCTGCATGCAGACGCTGAGGGGCGAGATCGGGTGATCGCGTTTGAATCTCACCAGCTTAAGAATGCGAGAAGATTTACCCAGTCAACGACAAGAAATTGCTTGCGATGAAGTATGCACTTGTCAAGTTCAGGGTGTGTACCTGCTTGGCTCCAAGCCGTTTGTGATCTATACAGATCATGCATCACTACGTACTGCGACTCAGTCGCCCCACCTCTCGCAGAGGATGACTTGATGGCTATCCTTCTTTGCGAAATATAACTTCGAGGTGAAGTATAAGCCGGGAAAGTAGAATGCTTTGGCTGATGCGTTGTCACGCTTACCGGACTATGAGCTTGCTCATGTCACGATGGTGACGTCGTCAGTGATGGATTTGATCCACGTCGCATACGCGGGTGATGGTATGTGTGTAGCGCTACTACAGGCTCTTGGGAGCAAGAATTTTGGAAACTCAAACAATTAATTGTCGGCGCTTTTGCGCGCACGGTTACACCGATATTCGCTGAGTAACGGGTTGCTGTATCATAGTACCGATAA